GGTATGTATAGTATGGTGTGGTATGTATAGTATGGTGTGGTATGTATGGTATGGTATGTATAGTATGGTATGCTATGGTGTGGTATGGTGTGGTATGTATAGTATGGTATGGTTTGGTATGGTATGGTGTGGAATGGTATGGTATGGTGTGGTATGTATAGTATGGTATGGTATGGTAGGGTGTGGTATGTATAGTATGGTATGGTTTGGTATGGTATGGTGTGGTATGTATAGTATGGTATGGTATGGTATGGTGTGTTAACCTCTGAGCTACTGCCACATAAATCTTTAACGCAATCACCCATGTTTGTATTGGCTAATGTTGATTTAGCTGTGCGACCATCTTTAACTGAGTGGACTCAAAGGCAATCAGTTGTAGATTCAATGATCACTTTCTGAGTTTCATTAAAATCTACGCATTGTTTCATGAGGTATACTGGTAGCAGACAGACACATGCACCAACTCAATCATGAGCAAAAACAGTGCGTCGTCCGCTTTCTGCTTTTGGCTGAAAGCAAAAAAAAAGGACTCGGGGTACAGAAAACAGAGAAAGTCTACAAAAAAAAAAGACAATTGCTTCAATAAACAGAGATCATAGCCTAAGACATTTAATATCCCACCAGGAGACAATTTGGTGCAGAGAAATTAAAACAATCCATTGATGACACTGAGAAACACTGGTGGAGCAACAACATTCGAGACGATTGTTGTCCTCCTTTCTGCTTTGATAACACGACCCACATTCTTGGTGTCTGACGCTCAGTAAGAACCATCCATCTGGGCGACCCCTGCTAGGCCTTACAAATTTACGAGTCTCCGTGAGGACCTAGAGCTTTATACCTCTTTTGCACAATTGCTGTACTTTGTCTTATGGCTGCTCCCTTATCTACTAATCCATCCCAGAATCATTCCCCTTCTTTTAGGAATGAGCACAAATATTATTGCATTTTCTTGTGTGCAAGAAATGTCAGACCGTGACGTACCTCCACTTACCAACAACTGAGCCCGACTGGAGGACAGGTGCAGGCAGTCATGTTGGAATTAAAATACTGGTTCAGACAGCAGGGCTCTGTTATGATTTATGCTTTTGGGACTGGATTGCTTTAACAGCTGGGAAAGGCCCACATTTTGTACGACCTGCTACTGATTTGCCAAACACGGGAGAATTAACTGGAAAACGGCTGCGGCCGGACTCTCGAGCACGGCATTAAAAGCTTAGCAGGTCTCAAACACAAAACACATTTCCCAAAGGGAGAAATCCCTCTTTTGGAGGTATCAATGAAACATTTTAAATATGCGATCAATCTTTGGAATGTTAGGCTTTTAAATATTTCATTCCCATCCTGGGATGATGACTCTACCCTCATCAGCACCGGGACCATTAAAATGTACAGGAATTTCTCTCCCGGCTTTAATGAGAAGATAAGCAGTCTGTGAAATCCTGCGCAAGTGAAGCGCTGAATGCCTATCGCCTAATTATGGCGTCCGACGTTTGATTTGCTGTCACACTTCGGCAGCTGCGCCGCGGAGGACGAGCTCACGAAGCAAAGGTCACAAAAGTTACGGCGAGAGCGTTTGCTCGAGCACTTCCTGGCCTAGAAGTTTTGTTTCTCAAAGCGGAAGAAGTGAATCGGGTAATCTTCCTGTTAATAACAAGGGCAAAGAAAAAGTAGCCGAGAGCACAAAGTTAGAATTTCAAAAAGATTTTTCTTTTATTTTTAATCCTAAATGTGCTCTTAAAACATCTAAAAGGAGATAAAAGAACCCAATTATGCAGTTCAAACTAAAATGTTGGGGAAAAGAACCAAAGTTATGCACAGTGGGAGGAAATAATCGTATTAGGAACAGACTAACTCTAAATATTGGTGGCTTCACTCACTATACCACTTCCTGTTGGTATTTTATAAGAACTGCATTTAACTTTAAAATATTACTGCTATGAGTTTTAAATTGTCATTTCAGGGTTTACTTTTTTATTCAGAATTAATCACTTTTTAACAGTTGTTCTGGATTATAAACCATAATACTTCCACCACCGTGATTCACACTTACCTCACTGGAATGACAAATTTCCATTTTATTATTATGGCAAACACAATTTTGGAGAACATTTGAGCCAAAACTTTGATTCTGACAAGGCCTGTCACAATAGCATTTTTTTCTGGGTGATTAATTTTCTCAGAATTTATTGCGATAAACTATAATATCGTTTGAAATTTAACAATAATTTATTGACAAATTTTAGAAGAAATGTTGATTTGTTTGGAGTGTAGTACCTTTTTTGACCACCTGATGGCAGTATAAGACAGTTTGAACCAAAGGATGGATAGTTGAGGAGTGTGTCTCTTTAAGAAAAATAGGAGGGAGGGTCCTTGACGTGACATGGTCTGACATGGTGACATGGGGGACACTCTGTAATTTGAGCTTTTTAGCATAGCAATTTTCACACAAAGCTTTTAATAAAAAAAAAATCAGTAAACAAGTTCTCAGCTTCTTTTTTGCAGAGAAAAACAACTTTTTACATGAAGACAAGGGTTTCAACCGTGAATTTTGGTTCTCCGACAAGACGGAGGTTTGTTCCCGAGGGCGGCCTGTTAGCTTAGCTCGTAGATTAGCTTCTCAGCTTAGCTGCTTTTAACAATCCAAAAACATGATTTTGGACGGTTAAAATGGATTTTAAAGAGAAAAGAGAAAGGGAAGGGTCAGTGAAGAGCACCGGAGTTGAGCCGTGTCTTCAGTAGAAAGAAAGAGACACGAAGAAACGATAAAGCTGATAAATGAAAACCAGGTAGATAAATTTCATTCATCATGCGATTAATTGATTTATTGTTTATTGTGACCGGCCTAATTCTGACTTTTACTTATTTATTATTATTTAAACAAAAACAGTTCAACTACGATCTATGTCAAAATGCCATGTTAATAATTTTGTATTATATTTTGCAGCCCTGCCACACACACCATCATTGTTTACTGCTTTATTTTCCTAACAATGAACACCATAGGGATCGCAACAACTATATGTGAAGAGGACGTCTCCCCCTCAAAAAAAAAACAAAAAAAAAACTAATTTGGACCCCTCCACATTTACCATAAAATATTAGTTCACCCAGTGCCGTTTCCATTTCTATGAGAACAAATCCATTCCACTTGATTAAACGGAGAATACTCAAACCACTAAAAATCCACTCCTGGTTTTCCTGGTTACCTACAACCTACCACACAACATGCAGTTTCTCCCAACTTGCCTTGGCAGGGCACTCATCTCTTGGGGGGGGGGGGGGGTTGGGAAGGGGGCGGGGGGGGAGGGGGAGACACCACTGTGTTATGCGCTAGCTTAGCGCTACGTTAGTGCCAGCAGATATTGACCACGGTGGAGGGATTAGGATGTGTGAGAGAAGCAGAGCGCTACGTCTGTAGCATCGTAGCTAGCGAATATGTATTGCGCGCTGCTAGCTTAGTGTTAGTGCCGGCAGTTGTTGACCGGGGAAAGGGGAGGTAGGAGAGCTGTTGGTCAGGCTAATTCTTGTTGTGCTATGCTCTCTAAAATAGTTATTGAATCAAGTGTTTACTTATGTGGGTAAACAGATGTTTAACAACACACCAGAATGCAGGAAATGACATCTACTTTATTGAAAATTTATGGGGGAGGACCCTCAGACCCGACACCCAGACCTCTCCCCCACCAGTGTGTCTCCCCCACATTACAAATGCTTGTGACGCGAATGATAAAACACTAAGATTAGCCAATCTGGGTGAAAAAAAGAAAAGATTTGTTACTCTAATTACTCTAAGTCTAAGACAAACATGATTTCTGAGCTTTGTACTCAGCCACGAACAGACGTAAGAATTCTCCTTGATGATGCAAATAGTTTGTCTTTTGAGGAGCTCAAAAATGTTAGGGAGTCTAAATGAAGCCAACCATCTCTGAGCGATTAGGAGCATTTCTTCGCTGATTACAATGTCTTGCAGATGGCTTGAAGGGAACTTTGATGATTTCCAATTTAGTGGTAAAAGAAAAATAGAAAGCATCTGAGTCCAAAGCTTTTATTGACTTGGTGTGTTGTGATGCCCACTGCCTGACCTTAACAGTTGCAGCTTAAAACTTGTTATTTTAGGTTGTTAGAGCCAGTGTATAAAAACAACAGTTGGTCTGTTTTACCTGGAGAATTGCTGCTGCAGTGAAACCATCTGCACTTGTCCTTGCTCCGACTCCTCCCTCACTTCCCGGAGACGCTTCTCGCTCTCCAGTCGCAGGTGTCGCTCGTCCTCTAGCTCGTGAATCAGCTTCTCTCGCTGCACAGAAACACAAACAAGATCATCAACGAGCGGGATCACACCCAACATTACAATTAGCAACTAGAGAAATTGCATTTCCTGCGAAAGTGCAGTGTGAATGCTTAATGCTGAAGAACTTGCTGAAAAACAGCTGAAATTAGCTAAAAACATGCTGAAATGTAGCTGAAATGGAAGAATAATCTTAAGTTAGCAGAAGAAAGCAGAAATAAAACAGTTGCTGAATTAGGTTGAAATAAGCAGAAATGAGCACAAAAATTAGGAAATTAACTAAAAAAGCTGAAATTGGCAAAAATAAACCAGCTGAAAAGTAGCTGAAAAAGCAGAAAGAAGCTTAAACTATCAAAAGGAAGTGGAAGCAGCTGAAATTATCTATAAAAAAAAAAGTGGAATTAGCTAAAAAAGCTCAATTGAGTACAAAAACAGCTAAAACGTAGCTGAACTTGCAGAAAATGCTGAAACTAACAGAAAAAACTGAAAGGAGCCAAACAAGCTGAAACTAGCAGAAAGAAGTGAATTAGGCTGAAAGTAGCAGAAATTGCCACGAAAAACTTGAATTTTGTCACAGAGTGACGAATCTTGGCAAATGGAGGGAGCAGTTTTATTCACCACCAGGTGCAATGGCGGAGTCAGGGGGTGGCCAGCGGTGGCCTTGGCTACCATAGATTAATCTTTTGCCACCTTACGGTCCACCTCAGTCATTTGAGAAAACTATTCTTTTAAGCAATATACAAACATAAAAGTATAAAGTACAGTTTCCTCAAATGATAGGGGTGGTTGGTGTACCAACATATATGGTGGTGGCCATCTTGGATTTTGATGTAGCATCTTTATTTTACACAGAGACCTTTCTTACACCTAGTCGTGCACAAAAATGGAAGTTGGCACTTTCCTTATATTTCAAGTTATTTTGCCAACAACACATAGAGACATTTTTGGTGGCAGCCATCTTGGATTTTGACATGGCAACGCAACTGTCAAAAGAAACTTTTCTTATGCCTAGATACATCCACACACCCAAATGGAAATCGGTACCTCCCTTATTTTTCCAAGTTATCATGCTGAAAACACGCAGGGACGGAGAGTATTAATAATTCCTCCATTTCAGTCCGCAACCGTGGAAAAAAGCTGTCCACAAATAATAGAGTATTTTCAGAATAATGTTCCTGAACAGAAAACTGAAAATACTTTCAATATCACATCATGAAATCTAAGAACTCAAATGACAAGGCTTGAATCATTATTGGATGGTCGCAATCTTTGGGCCACTGCATTAAAAACTAGTCTGATTCTGTTGTGGACGTCACTGCATGGCCTCGGGAACACTTCATACTGGTTAAAGCTATATCGTGCACGGAGAAACCCTATGTAAACCCCTTACAGAAACACTGTCGTCTTCCCTGAACCAAAGTTGATCTGAAATGGACTGAGGCGAAGTGGAAAACTGTTGTTTTTTAAGCAGCCACAGATGCTACATCCTCCGTACTAAAGAAGAATTTATCAGCACATGCAACAAAGTTAAGTCAGATCGTCTGAACAGTTTCTTTTTATTGTTTGTTTGATGAGATGTTTCGTCTTTCATCCAAAGGACTTCATCAGTCCAACAAACTGAATCCCATAAGCAGCACACTCACACAATGGACCAACCAGTTTGATGGTGATAAGATGGCTTCTGGGGCCCGCCCTCTCCCCTGTCGACTCCTCTGAGGCAGCCACAGGCAAAGTGGTTCAAGACATCAAAGTTCATGCTCAATAACCCAGGTAAAAAAAACATTTCTTTTTGTTGAAATGGCAGCCATGGCCAAAGAAAAATTTGGTGCAAAATTGACAGTTATAGCCATTTTTGTGTTTGCTAGGTTTGATTAGCTGAAGTGGCCATTTTGAAACAGGTTGACTCCGTACGGTAATCAGTTGATACACACCTGGTAATTACTTTCTAAGGGTTTCATCAAAATCTGGCAACCGGTTCATGAGAGGTTTTGCAAACAGACAAACATGAGCCAACATACACTAGGTCGTCAAAGTTCATGCTCAATAATCTAAGTTAAAAAAATCCAACAAAGTTAAGTAAGGTCCTCTTGACGGTTTCTTTGTGTTGAGACGTGTCATCCTTCATCAGTCTGAAGAGCCACAACAAACCCAGTCCCCTAAGTAGCACCTTATGTAGTGGACCAATGGGTTTGATGGTGATAAGATGGTTTCTGGAGTTGGATTATTGCGCATGAACTTTGATGTTTTGAACCACTTTGGCTATGACTGCTTCAGATGAATCGATGGGGGAGAGGGCGGACTCCAGAAATCATCTTATCACCATCAAATTGGTTGGCCCACTTTGTGAGTGTGCTGCTTGTGGGCCTTAGTTTGTTTGTGGCGCCTTTGACTGATGAAGTCCTCTGGATGAAGGATAAAAGCAACTGTCCAGATGACCTGACTTTGCTATGTTGGATTCTTTATCTAGATTATTGAGCATGAACTTTGATGTTACCAGCACATGGTTGAAATTCTGCCTCTCTGCTGGTATGGGGGTGCATTAGTGAGTCTGGCATGAGGAGCTTACACATATGGAAAGGCTCGATCAATGCAGAAAAAAAATGTGCACAAGTTTCAGAACAGCATCCAGACGTCTTTTCCAGGGAATGCCTTGCATATTTCAGCAAAACACTGCCAAACCTCCACAGCATAGATGAGTCCATGTGCTGATCAGCTAAATATAGTCAAGCCTGTTTTTTTTTTTTTTTTTAACTGAATATATAAAACTCTTGAGAAAGCCGAGCCAGGACTGTTAAACGGTTTGAAGCATCCGTAAAATCAGAACGTTTGACAACATATTCAGCAAAACACCTGAGATCAAAGGTTCGCTGCGTGCACCTGCAGGCTTTCCGGCTCTTTTTTTTTTTTTTTTTTAGCACCTTCGGTGTGAAAGTAAATTAGAGCGTGAGGGCACGATGACATTTAGGCTGTCGGACTGGCTCTCTGCTCGTGACAGTTTGTTGTTTCCTTTAAATGTGGAGAGCGAAGCTCCGTTTTGCCTCTAAGACACGAAGTTCACCTGAAAATGCCAAACAACATCACTCATGAGCCTGTTGTCATTTCTCAACATTTATCTTCACAAAGTTACTCTTTACAACTTTAAAACGTATTTCTTCATAAAAATGACCTCATTGGATCGAAGTAGTTATCAATACGGTATTAATTGCTGAGCTGCAAAGAGAAAGATGCAAAAGGGTGATGATGTTTTTGAACAAGAATGTGCGTCTCTGTTAAAAAGTCATCTCATGAACCACTGGGTGGATTTGATTCAAACTCAACCACTGGATGTAAATCCACCATCTGGAGCCAGTCCCATTCAAGATGGCCACCACAGCAATCAGCCGAGACTCATCCTCAACATAGACTGTCAAACAGGTGGCAGGTGATACTTCAAGCAATGCTAGGTTTTATTTAATAAATAATAATAATAATTCATGAAGCATTCACTCTGTTGTGATCCATTTTTCTTCCGTACATTTTTCAGCATCTTTCCCGTCCCGCAGTTTTCAAGCTGTTTCAACAAATCATAATCAAAACGTTCAGCTCGTTCAGGACAATCCTGCTATGACTTTTGGTGTTGGTGCAACTTTAGCTTTTTGAAATATTTAGACTTTTCTGCCATTTTTTTTTCTCATAGAAAATGAACTGAGCTCATTTTACATCCTTCAAATCTTTAGATGTGTTTACAACCTTTTACTGCTCCTTTCACATTTTGTTCTGCCTCAGCTTCTTTCAACTTCCTTCTGCAAATTTAAACTTTTTTCAGCTACTTTTAGCTGTTTTGTGCTCCTTTTTGCTTTATTCTGCTAACTACAACATTTTTGTTCTTCTAATTTATTTCTGCAAATGCTAGCTTGTTATGCTCCTTTCAGCTTATTTGCGAAAGTTTCAGCTTTTTCTACTATTTCAGCTTCTATTTAGCTGTTTTATGCTCATTTTAGCTTTTTTTTTGGGCTAATTCCACATGTTTGGCACTCATTTAAACTTTTTAAGCCTAATTCAGCAACAATGTGCTCTCTCCACTTCCTTCTAGTAACTTAAGCTTCTTTCTGTTTTTAGCTACTTTTCAGCTGTTTTTTGAGATAATGTCAGCTTTTTTCAAATAATTTCCACTTTTTTTGTGCTCATTTCTGCTTCTTTCAGCATAATTGAGCAAACGTGTTCTTTCTGCTTTCTTTTGCTAATTTAAGCCTGATCTACCTTTTCAGTTACCTTTTTAGCATTTTCTTTAGACAATATCAGCTGTTTTCAGATAAATTAATGTTTTGCATGTCAATTTCTGCTACTTTCAGTCTAATTAGCTTCTTTATGCTGATTTCAGCTTGGTATGCTCCTTTCAGCTTTTTCTGCTCTTTCAGATACTAGGTAGATTTTTTGAATTCCACATTTTTGGAGCTCATTTTAGCTCCATTCACTTCCTTCTGGCTATTTACGCTTCTTTCTGCCTATTCAGCTACTTTTCAGCAATTATTTGCTAATTTCAGACTCTTTTTTTTTTTTTTTTTAGCTAATTCCCTAATTTTTGTGCTCATTTCTGCTTTTTTAAACCTAAGTAAGCAAATGTGTTATTTCTGCTTTTTTCTGCTAATTTAGGTTTGTTCTTCCATTTCAGCTACTTTGCAGAATGTTTTTAGCTAATTTCAGCTGTTTCTCTGCAAGTTCTTGAGCAATAAGCATTCAAACTGCATTTTCGCAGGATGCAATTTCTCTAGTTTGTTTAGTTGTAGGAAAGTTTGCATAGAAGTTTGGAGCGACTGCGACCAGAAAAGCTTTCAGAATAAGAATTATCATTTAGTTTCTTCATAAAGCCTGACAGCTATTGCTAATGATACTTCTACTTAAAAATAAACATGTAAATAAATAAAGCATTTGTCTTTTTTTCAAGTCATCATCTTTACATCAAAACCTCAACATGAATATATTAAATACAGCGTTGTAAAATATCAGAACATGCAGAGTCAGAGCTCTGAAGCTCAAATGTTTCCAACATGAACCCTCGTCCTGAGCTCCTCTGAGTCTGACTACAGAAAAGCGTTTTGAGGACATCTAGTGGTGAAAATGGGAATGACAGCCGTGGCTGCACTTGAACCAGGGGTCTGCAGCCTTTATGATGAAAAGAGCCATGTCTTCCTCTTTGCACACTAAATAAAATGTCTAAGGAGCCACAAAACCTGCTAAAACTGTGATTGTGGATTGAATTTTAAAATGAAAATAAATACTTCAGTTTACTTTGACTTTGCTTTATTCTTTTATTGTGTGAATGTGTCTCTGTGTCTGTTAAAAAGTCATCTCATGAACCAGTGGGTGGATTTGATTCAAATTCTCATCACTGGATGTAAATCCACCATTTGGAGCCAGTCCCATTCAAGATGGCCACCACTGCAAGCAGCCGAGACTCATCCTCAACATAGACTGTAAAACAGGTGGAAGACAGTACTTCAAGCAATGCTAGGTTTTATTTAATAAATAATAATAATAATTCATAAAGCATTCACTCTGTTGTGATCCATTTTACTTCCGTACAATTTTCAGCATCTTTCTCGTTCCACAGTTTTTGTATTTCAACAACTCATAAATCAAAACGTTCAGCTCGTTCAGGAGAACAGTGCTATGACTTTTGGTATTGGTGCAACTTTAGCTTTTTGAAATATTTAGCCTTTTCTGTCACTTTATAGAAAATGAGTTGAGCTCATTTTCCATCCTTCAAATCTTTAAATGTGTTTACAATATTTTACTGCTCCTTTCATATTTTCTTCTGCTTCAGCTTCTTTCAGCTTC